CGGCGGACATTCTGACATTGGGGGGTACTGACTTGGGGTCACTGACATCCCCAAAAACACTAATACAGTGATCAGTGCAAAAAAAAAACACTGACACTGTACTAATGGCACTGGGGAGGAAGGGGTTAACTTTATTTTGCAGGGAAGGGTTATAGGAGTGAGGGGAGTGTTTTACTAGGGGGCGGGGCTGTGTACTGGGCGGGACAAGGCTGATCGAGAAAGAGAAACTGTTCTTTCTCGATCAGCTCATCCTTGAGCTGACAGGGAAGTGACAGACAGCACAGCTACTTCAGCTGTGCTGTCTGTCACTGTTTGCCGCCGATCGCCGAGACATAGCCGCTAAGGAGCGGCTGTGACCCGGCGACTGACATCTGTGGCGTTGATCCGCAGGACAGATAGGGCGCGCCTCGCGCGCGCCCCCTATTTGTTTACAAGACACACGTTTTAAAACGTGGTTTTGCCTGCGAGTGCCGCCCTGCCGCCGTATATGTACAGTGGCTGGGCGGCATGTAGTTAATTGAACAAGCTGAAGTTAGAAGCTGATTGGCTCCCATGTACAGCTGCACCAGATTCTGAGTGCTCCAGTTTTAGTAAATCTCCCCTTGTATGTTGAACAAGTCAAGGTTTTCCTTCTTGATATCTGCCTATGTTGTTCATTAGATTTAACCTCTTAGCACCGGCTGCACGCAAATGTGTGACCTCCCGGCGTCTGGGCCTTGACGTCAAGCGGACGCACATTTGCATGCAATTAAGAAAAACATACGTGCTGAGAGTGCATGCTCCCAGCACATATGTCCGATACTCATGGAAAGGTCCCGATCTCCTCTTGCAATCGGGACCTTTCCCGATCATGTGACAGCGAATCACGGCAGTCACATGACCCTAAAACCCCGCTCACTGACATTAAAATAAAAGAGGAATTTAATAGTATCTAGCCAATTTTGATATATTCCCTCTCCAATAATAAAATGTTAATTCATTAGGTGGAAGCAATTGTCCAGTAGGATTACTGGAAACATGCCCTTTGTTAGGTAAATGAATCCCTCTTAGCAAATCAAAAGCTGCTGCCTCCTCCTGAAGTGATCCTGAAGCAGGGGCGGACTGACCATTTGGAAACTCGGGCACTGCCCGAGGGCCTGGGGTCAGTAGGGGGCCCCATGAGATGCCCCTGGTACCTTTTTTTAATAGGCTTTTTTGAGTTTAAGCAAGGACACGGGCCCCATGATCCCCTATTGCCCGGGGGCCCCATGAGTTGTCAGTCCGCCCCTGTCCTGAAGTGTATGTAAGGTGAGACAGCTCAGTCAGTACATTGGATTTCCAGGAGAAAAAGGTTTTACTGAAACATCTCTTTACTCCACCATTCCAGGTATCTTTATATTTGATCATTGTACATTTGTGTTGCAAGTTAGTATTTTCTTATATTGATAATTGTATCTTAGTTGTATTTAACATTGAAAAATGTGGTTTTTGGGGGGTTTTTATATTGAATTTTAAGGTTAATTTTCTAAAGAAGTAGACCATGTTCACTTTACAAAGGTCCTTTTCACTTAGCATAGTGAATAGGATGAGACTAACTGAAAATTTTACTTTTCAAACTTTCTCGAGATGCAAGAGATTATTTTACTTGAGATTCCAGTAAAATAAAACAGAATTGTGCTTGTTTACAAAGTGAATTTTCTCTTAGCTTAGTGCAGTGTTTCTCAATTCCAGTCCTCATGGACCCCCAACAGGTCATGTTTTCAGGATTTCCATTATTTTGCACAGGTGATTTGATCAGTTTCACTGCCTTAGTAATTACCACAGCTGTTTCATCTGAGGGAAATCCTGAAAACATGACCTGTTGGGGGTCCATGAGGACTGGAGTTGAGAAACACTGGCTTAGTGGATGAGGTGAAACTGGACTGACTTCCATCATCCAATAGTCACTAATATAGGTGAAAATTCAATGTATAAAATGAATATGCTCTACACCAGGGGTCCTCAAACTATGGCCCGCGGGCTGGATACGCCCACCAAAGCCATTTAGCTGGGCCAGCTGGAAAGAAAATAAATAAATCTGAAAAAAACAGACCGGCTAATTGCTAGACTGCTCACTGGGTCCTAGGCCGCGAGGACCCAGCCAGCGGCAGCCTGGAAGTCTCTGATTTCACCTGCTGCAGCCAAAGGAGCACCAGGAGAGGAGGAGAGTACACCAGGTCCAGTGTGTTGCGTTGCGGTGCCCAGGGCATTATAGTGTACAGTGCATTGCAGTGCCCAGTGTGTTAGAATACAGTGCGTTGTAAATATTGTGTTTTTCTGTTTCCAGCCATGCAAAGCAGTGTGATTACAGTGAAAAAGCACACAGTAAAACAGCACACAGTTAACCCTTTGATCACGCCAGATGTTAACCCCTTCCTGCCAGTGCCATTAGTAGTGTCAGTACTTTTTTATTTATTTTTTTCTGTATTGGTGTCACTAGGGATATCAGGAACACCAAGTCAGTTCTCCCCCCAGTGTCAGAATGCCCACCGCAGTCCCACTGTAAGTCGCTGATCGCCGCCATTACTAGTAAAAATAAAATTTAAAAAAGAAAATCCCAGTGTATATATACTGCCATTTGTAAACGCTATAAATTTCACGGAAACCAATTAATTTACACGTATTGGGAATTTTTTTTTTTAGCAAAAGACATGGAGAGGAATACATTTTGGCCTATATTTATGGCAATTTTATTATTACAAAATATAGTTCTCAAAATTGTCGGTCCCTTTTTTTTTTTTTTTTTTTTAACGCAAAAAATACAAAACGCAGAGGTGATCAAACGCCACCGAAAGAAAGCTCAATTCGTGGGAAAAAGAGGACGTAGATTTAATTTGGGTGCAGCATTGCATGACTGCGCAATTGTTAAAGTAAATTCAGCCCCAAATCCAATCACTGTCCAAATCTTGTAGACTTCACCTCCGCAACATCTCCAAGATACGCCCGTTCCTAACCCGGAAACCACTAAGCAACTTATTCACTCCCTTGTTATATCTCGCCTTGACTAACTCCCTCCTCATTGGCTGACCTCACCGCAGGCTATCCCCTCTTCAGTCTGTCATGAATGCTGCTGCCAGACTCATCCACCTTACTAACCGTTCTGTATCTGCCATCCCTCTCTGCCAGTCCCTCCACTGGCCTCCACCCCTCTCTGCCAATCCCTCCACTGGCCTCCACTTGGTGTCCTCCACCCCTCTCTGCCAATCCCTCCACTGGCCTCCACTCAGTGTTTTCCACCCCTCTCTGTCAATCCCTCCACTGGCCTCCACTCGGTGTTTTCCACCCCTCTCTGTCAATCCCTCCACTGGCCTCCACTCAGTGTTTTCCACCCTTCTCTGTCAATCCCTCCACTGGCCTCCACTCAGTGTTTTCCATCCCTCTCTGCCAATCCCTCCACTGGCCTCCACTCAGTGTCTTCCATCCCTCTCTGTCAATCCCTCCACTGGCTTCCACTCAGTGTCCTCCATCCCTCCTCTGCCAATCCCTCCAATGACCTCCACTCAGTGACCTCCATCCCCCTCTGCCAATTCCTCCACTGGCCTCCCGAGTGTAGCTCGGGGTAAAGTTTCAGCACCACAAGCGGTAACCCCGAGCTGAACTCAGGAATACTCTGCAGCGTTGCTCCGGGATCTCTTCACTTACCTTGTCTTGCTCTCCCGCGATGTCCCCCCTGCAGTGTTCTCGGCAATGTCCTCCGGCCGATGCCGGCATCTGTCTTCCGGGTTCCATTCCCTGCGAGCGTCAAGACGTACGGGGGTCAGAACTGGCGGGAAATTTAAAAATGTGAAAGGTGACATTCACTCAATATAGTAAAACATTACTGTATCAAACCATTTCACATATATTTTGTCCCGAGTGTTCTTTCTGCCTGGAAACTGAGAAACGTCCACGGCGTCCAAAAAGCGTCCCTTTACATCAAAAGCGGTTTTAGACCAGCTAGAGAACGCGATAGTAAATTAGAACCACTTGCAGAATTGAGTGATAATGATTCGTGGGGGAAATTCATCATCGGACACTGAACGATTTTGTGACTTTGCTCAGTGATGTGCGAACTTGGCGCTATATTTCAAATTTCAGTGTTTTGGTTTGATTATATTATTGAAATCAATTTATTATATTATATTTTATGATTATTAAATTATGCTTTATGATTTCGTGTTTCAAATTTTATCATACCCGGGATGTTTACTAGACTCTTGTTCAGACAGATTTCAGTGAGTTATTCCTAAAAATTACAGGCCTACAATAAAAAAAAAATACATATTTCCATGCAAAAAAATGTACCACTTTGAGCACAGAAATATGGACATAATCAGACCGCTAGGGAGGCTACAAAAACAAAAAAAAATGTAATAACTTCAGTAGAACCTATTGTAAGTCCTCAGTTCTGATACAATCACAGTTGTTGAAACTTGTGTAAAGGACTACAATGGACTTAACACCAACAAATACACTTGAAATTCACCAGCAATATATCATTAAAATATAATACAAAAAAGTTAGAGATGTATCCACTGAAAATATGTATACCATGATATTTTTTATTTTTTTTTTTTTTTTTGTACTAATAATTTGTTCTGGGTTGATACAATGTGCAATCCAAGAATTGGGATTAACCCTTTGTTAGGACAGATAGTGTTCAAATCTACTTTATAACTGATTTAGGATCTGCCAGCACAGACAGGAGTAATAATGGAAATATTACAAAGAAGGGGAAGCTAGGTAGGATTTCTAAGAAAGCAAACCAGTAAGAAGTATTTTTTTCTCATATTTTTTTGCTATGTGAATGGGAACATGTAAAAAACAAATATAACAAAGGCGTTATTCCAATTTGGAAAATGCACTTTAAGATTCCATATAAACATTTTTTACAAAAACTGAACTACTATTCTCAAAATATTTTACAGGTAAACAGATCATCATCAACACACAATGAGTCAAGCAGGAGACGAGCCGTATCAAAGCTCTGATAGGATTCACACAGAGAAACCATTTAAATGTTCAGAATGTGGAAAGTGCTTCTCAAAGAGGATATATCTTGGTCAACACCAAAAGATTCACACAGGAAAGAAGCAATTTTCTTGCTCAGAATGTGAAAAAGTTTTTCCATGGAAAACATTTCTAATCCGGCACCAGAGGATTCACACTGAAGGGGACCAATTTAAATGTTCAGAATGCGGCAAGTTCTTTGCAAGGAGGAGATATCTTGCTATACATGAAATGATTCACACAGGAGAGAAGCCGTTTTCTTGCTCAGAATGTGAACAAGTCTTTGCAACGAAATCAAAACTAATCCGTCACCAAAGGATTCACACAGGAGAGAAACCATTTAAATGCCCAGCATGTGGCAAGTGCTTCTCACGCAGAGAAACACTTGTGAAACATGAACAGATTCACACCGGAGAGAATGTATTTTCTTGCTCCGAATGTGAAAAAATGTGTTTCTCTAAGCAGTCGCTAATCGTACACCAGAGGATTCACACAGGAGTGAAGCCATTTAATTGTTCAGAATGTGACAAATGTTTCTCTGAAAAGTGTAATTTTGTTGAACACCTGAGAACCCACACAGGAGAGAAACCATTTAAATGCCCAGCATGTGGCAAGTGCTTCTCACGCAGAGAAACACTTGTGAAACATGAACAGAGGCACACCGGAGAGAATGTATTTTCTTGCTCCGAATGTGAAAAAATGTTTTTCTCTAAGCAGTCGCTAATTGTACACCAGAGGATTCACATAGGAGAGAAGCCGTTTAAATGTTCAGAATGTGGCAAGTTCTTCTCACAAAGGGCACATCTTAATCATGAAAATATTCACACAGGAGAGAAGCCATTTTCCTGCTCTGAATGTGACAAATCTTTCTGTTTAAAGGAAAATCTTGGTAGACCTCTGAAGACTCACACAGGAGAGAAGCCGTTTTAAATGTTCAGAATGTGGCAAATGCTTCTCACAAAGGACACATCTTAACATGAAATTATTCACACAGGAGAGAAGCCTTTTAAATGTTCAGAATGTGACAAATGTTTCACAAAGGGCACAGCTTAATCAAGATGAAAATATTCACACGGGAGAGAAGCCATTTTCCTGCTCTGAATGTGACAAATGTTTCTGTTCTAAGGAAAATCTTTGTAGACATCTGAAGACTCACACAGGAGAGAAGCCATTTAAATGTTCAGAATGTGGCAAATGCTTCTCACAAAGGACACATCTTAATCAACATGAGAAGATTCACACAGGAGAGAAGCCATTTAAATGTTCAGAATTTGGCAAGTGCTTTTCACAGAAGGCATCACTAATCCGTCACCCGAGGATTCATACTGATTAAATGACTTACAAATGTTCAGAATGTGGCTGTTTCTTTTAACCACTTCAAATCCGGACACTTTCACCCCCTTCTAGTGGAGGCCAATTTTCAGCTTTCAGTGCTATCACACTTTGACAAATGCGTGACCATGCAACACTGTACCCATATGTTATTCAACATCAAAAAACAAAAGACCTTCTAGATAAAATGCCATCCATCTGAAACTCTGACAACCACTTATCAACCTGCCAAATCATGTGACAACTAATCCCTAGACTGAGATTCCACTCTACCAAAGTATAAGAGAACGAATTGAAACAGCATGATATGAACTTTACCTAACCACGACACAGAAACCCATGCATTTTTTTGAAATTTTGGCCAAGAAGATACTACATTTTGCAATACTTTATCAACCCGTTCTAATATAACCTGTAGGAGGGCAAAAGCTGTGAAGGACATATTGGTCTTTACCCGTTATATAGAGAAACAACAATTCCCATCTTCATGGTTGAAGGTTTGTGTTTTCATGCTTGAAAACCATGGATTTTTGGGAATTTCAGACAAGTTTGCAAGAAGATCTCATGCTTCTGATACTTCATCGACAAATCCAATTATAACCTACAGGAGGGCAAAAACTGGGAAGGATATGTTGGTCCATACCCAGTGTAATAAGAAGCAAGAAATACATTAAGTACAGTTTCCAGTTTCTGTTAGAGGGCCATATATGTATGGACATTGTAAGACTTGTGTTTTCACGGTTAAAGTATTTCCACTTTAAGGACTGCTCCCCCTCCCCACCCCCCAAAGCTGGGAGCAGTCCTTAAAGTGGAACTTCCCCTTTTTGGGTGGATCTCCACTTTAAGGTGGGGGGGGGATAGTTTGAGATTCAAGATTTCATAAACTGCAGTACATTAGGAAAGGGGTATCTCGCATAACATGCCTTGTGGTACACTGCATTGCTAAAGAAAATTGGGTAATGTGCATTTTTGTCCTTTGTGGTATATTGGCAGCCCATTTATTATCAGTAGGTTGCCTTGACAAAGGGCAAATTAATGCAAAATACGTTGACATCAAGGGGTTTATTTACTAAAGCTGGAGAGTCCAAAATCAGACTCCCTTCTGCATATAAACCAATCAGCTTCTAACCTCAGCTTGTTCAATGAAGCTTTGGCAATGAAACCTGGAAGCTGATTGGTTTCTATGCAGAAGGGAGTCTGATTTTGGACTCTTCAGCTTTAGTAAACCCCCCAATTGCCTTTAGATATGTTAGCATTCAGAGATTAATATTGCCATGCCAACTTCTCAAGAAAAAAAAAAAAAATGACTCGAATCCATTATGTTATATGAAAATACATTAAACCTGCAAATTCAATAGAGAGATTAATTTTTACTATCGCCTAAGCAGCATTGTTCAGTTGGTGTAGGACTAAAAATCTCAGCATTGCAATATATTGTCTACAGTGCTACAAATCCTAGCATTGCTTTCCAGTATGTGTAGGACTGCAAGTTGCAGCATTATCTAGTGTCTGCGGTGCTATAAGTCCCAGCATTGCTTTCTGGTGTCTGCAGGACCACACATTTTAGCGTTGGTATCTAATGTCTGGACTAAGACAGGGCTAAACTGGTCCTCCATGGTTATTTTTTTCATTCAGTCAACAGATTCCTCCATCCACACTGGGACTCTGTATTCTGACAGCAGCACCCACCTCTGTCAGAATAGACTGATCAGTGCCTGCAGTTGAATGGCTGCAGTTGGAGATCAAAGGAAAATTTTCCAACATGTTACTTCGACAGAAGTGAGGGAGCCCACAAATTGATTAAAATTCAGCTGGTCCTTGATGAACCTTGTGAATTTCAGTCAGTGTATGGCCAGCTTAATAGTCCCATCATTGTTATCTAGTGTCTGCATTTCTACAAGTCCCCATATTATTGAGTGTCTGCAGGACAAGATGTTCCAACATTGTTACCTAATGAAACCAAAGCTGGCTATTCGGGGAGGTACAAAACATAGTTTATGTAGATGTGTCCATTATATACTGTAGTAAAAAAAAAAAATCTGAGCGTGTCCTTGTTTTGTGCCAATTTTGCCTCTATAATTCATCTTACATTGTGAACCCAAGTTCTATTTTATATTTTGTAGAAATTTTGATTTAAGATATGTTGGTCTTTTAAGTTTAAATGGAATTAAAGTATATCTAAAAATAAAACTTGTTTCCAATTTTCTAGAGTATGGACTGGTTAAAAACCGTGTCAGTTACATAGTTAGTCTGGCTGAAAAAAGACAAAAGTACATCCATAGAAAAAAAAAAAAGTTATCCTATAACCACAGTTGATCCAGAGGAAGGCAAAAAAAACTCTAGCAAAGCATGATCCAATTTGTTCCTGCTGGGAAAAAAATTCCTTCCTGATCCCGAGAGGTGATCGGATATTCCCTGGATCAACTTTACCTATAAATGTTATATTCTGTGTATCCAAGAAAGAATCCAGGACTTTTTTAAAGCAATCCACTGAGCTGGCCAGAACCAACTCTTGAGGGAGTCTATTCCACATTTTCACAGCTCTCACTGTGAAGAAACCTTTCATTGTTTGGAGATTACATTTCTTTTCCTCCAGATGTAAAGAGCGCCCCCTTGTCCTCTGTGATGACCTCAGGATGAATAACTCTACACCGAGTTCACTATATGAACCACTGATGTATTTATACATGGAGATCACATCCCCCCTCATGTATTATACATGGAGATCACATCCCCCCTCATGTATTATACATGGAGATCACATCCCCCCTCATGTATTATACATGGAGATCACATCCCCCCTCATGTATTATACATGGAGATCACATCCCCCCTCATGTATTATACATGGAGATCACATCCCCCCTCATGTATTATACATGGAGATCACATCCCCCCTCATGTATTATACATGGAGATCACATCCCCCCTCATGTATTATACATGGTGATCACATCCCCCCTCATGTATTATACATGGTGATCACATCCCCCCTCATGTATTATACATGGTGATCACATCCCCCCTCATGTATTATACATGGTGATCACATCCCCCCTCATGTATTATACATGGTGATCACATCCCCCCTTATGTATTATACATGGTGATCATATCCCCCCTTTAATCTCCTCTTCGCAAGAGAGAATAAATTCAGTTCCTCTAACCTTTCCTCATAGCTGATCTCCTCCATGCCTCTTATCAGTTTAGTTGCCCTTCTCTGTACTTTCTCCAGTTCCCCAATGTTCTATTTGTAAATTGGTGCCCAAAACTGAACTGCATATTCCAGATCAGGTGTTACTAATGATTTGTACCGGGGGAAATGATATCTCTCTCTCTGGAGTCTATACCTCTTTTAATACAAGAGAGGATTTTGCTCGCTTTAGAACCCGCAGCTTGGCATTGCATGCCATTATTAAGCTTGTGATCTACCAGAACCCCAGATCCTTCTCCACCATTGACCCCCCCCCCCAGTATGTAGGATGCATGCATATTCTTAGCCCCCAAGTGCAGAACCTTACATTTATCAACATTAAACCTCATTTGCCACATAGTCCCCCAATTACACAGAGCATTGAGGTCGGCTTGTAAGTTGGAGACATCCTGTAAGCACGTTATTCCACTGCACAGCTTGGGGTCATCTGCAGACTGAAATGGGATTTATAATCTCAGACCCTATATTGTTTATAAATATATTAAAAAGTAAGAGTCCCAACACTGAACCCTGGGGTACACCACTGTCACCCCTAGACCAATCAGAGAATGAATCATTAACCACTGCTCTCTGAATACCATCTTTTAGCCAGTTTTCTATCCATTTACATACAGATTTTTCCAAGCCCGTAGACTTTGACACAGTTCCCCACACACGGGTAATATGTAACAAACGCTTTTGCAAAATTCAAGTATACCACGTCCACCAGCGCCCCTCCGTCCAAGTATACCACGTCCACCGCCACCCCTCTGTCCAAGTATACCACGTCCACCGCCACCCCTCTGTCCAAGTATAGCACGTCCACCACCACCCCTATGTCCAAGTATACCACGTCCACCGCCACCCCCTCTGTCCAAGTATACCACGTCCACCGCCACGTCCACCGCCCCCTCTGTCCAAGTATACCACGTCCACCGCCACCCCTCTGTCCAAGTATACCACGTCCACCGCCACCCCTCTGTCCAAGTATAGCACGTCCACCACCACCCCTATGTCCAAGTATACCACGTCCACCGCCACCCCCTCTGTCCAAGTATACCACGTCCACCGCCACCCCTCTGTCCAAGTATACCACGTCCACCGCCACCCCTCTGTCCAAGTATACCACGTCAACCGCCACACCCTCTGTCCAAGTCCAAGTATACCACGTCCACCGCCACCCCTCTGTCCAAGTATACCATGTCTACAGCCACCTCTCTGTCCAAGGTCTTGCTCACCTCCTCATAAAAAGAAATCGGATTTGATTGACAACTTCTGTCTTTCATGAATCCATGCTGTCTGTTGCTTAAAATATTTTTTTTCCAGCAAGAACTCATCTAGAGGGAAGAGGCACACCCCCCTTAACACAGCACACAGGAAAACAGAGCTGAAGCTGTCAATTAGAGATGAGCGAAGTATTCAAAAATTCGATTCGACTGATTCGGCGAATTCGTTAGAAAAATTTCGATTCGAGTCGAATATATTCGCTGTGAATTTAACTTAAAAAAGGGTGTTTCTAGGCTTCAGAGAGACTTAATATTAGTGCTGAAACACTGTACCTTTAATTTAAATGCCCTTGGAGTCTGCTGGGGAAGAGAAATAATACTGTCAGGCAGTATGACATGCAGATGAGTGCCGTCGATCTTAGAATCACCGCACACTTCACTCATTTGGGCAGTCACGGGGCCAAAACCAGAGTGTGGAGCCACAGTGTGGCGGTGGAGGCAGCAGCAATGGGAGGCCATACAGCACCCTATGACAAAAATGGAAACCACCAGCAGTGTGAGGAGACCTGAAGTGGCACATGG